GTCCTCGGATTCTTTACGGTACAGTGCTTATCACAAAACAACAGCTTACGAAGTTTTGAAGCCGCGAATGCCATAGACGCTTTGATTATAATTGATGAAATCCTCATAAGCCACTGGTAATTCAGGGCGATAAGGGAGAAGCATTTCTTCGGCTAATTCTTGCGTCATTTCCAGTGGGCGGCGAGCGTCCAGCAAACGTTTGGAAATGCCATAGATGCCACCAAACGGCATCGCCACCAGCAGCGATCGTGTTGTGAGCCCTTGCTCTGAATTTTACATGCACACTGAACTAAATAACTGACCAAAAGTCCATCTGCTATTACATTTCAAATTGGACTTACTCGAGAAGGTCCAAAACCAACAACCAATCGCAGGTGTTATCTTACTTTTGGAAACTGCAGTAAGCAGCAACGAAAGAGAAGCAGGCGGGGGAAGGGGAATGAAAAATAAATAAGGTGATCGAGGAAGAAAAAACTTAGTGAACTGACCCCCTAAAAAACAAAAATTGGATCAAATTAAACGAAGTACAACTTCGAAAAAGTAGATTGTAAGACAACTTATTCCAAAAGTCAAAGTCAAAACCTCTTCCACAATCCACTGTCACTGAAAGCTAGAGAAACATGCCAGTATAACAACCATTCACTTCTGATAAGGCTGCCGACATCTCCTTCCTTTGGGCACTGCTTGCAAGTAAACCAACGATGGCTTTGACTCCCTGGCTCATAACACTGATCTGTGGTTAAAATAATTGGCCAATGCACCGCCTACCAATGCGAAAATGCGTTTTTTTGTATAATTCTCCGTAGTTTTTTACGCTACGGCATCGGTTCTTCCGGCAAGTACTTCTAGCTAAAAGAATTGAAACTGATCGCCAAGACTGTCAGGAAGCATCCGCTAAAATTTCAACTTTCTAGCCTTCCTGGTTACCGAGTTAGTAACTTACCCGCAAAAAACTTTCATGGGCCCGTACATGGGTACCGCACATACCCGAGGGCTGGGTTTGAACTCATTAACACCTACTTGGACGAGGAACACCCCCTTAAAATTCCAGATTTTATTATCATTTTTGGTCCACAGACCAAAAGTGATAATAAAAAATAATGGTGATAAACAACAGCAGGAGCAAAAAAATTTATGTGAACAGTCCTGGAATTTTTGATTTTAGCTAAGAATTTCATGGAAAAATGGCATGCATTCAGACCTAGGACAGGGTTACCGTGACAACACTTCAAGATCCTATAAGTACAAATCACCAACCAGTTTCCGTAACGCCA